GCATTTTTTTCATCCTCCTCAGATAAATGGATCATAGCTGTATAGGCAAGTTAGGACTATATTTTACTTGCAAAAGAAGTTTATATATCGCTGCAGTCAGAAGAAAACCTTTGTATCATATCTATCATTTTTGTTGTTTTTCAGTTTTTGACAGAATTTAAAAATGACTGTTGCCATTTACATCATGTGTAAATTTCATTATGAATTCACCACAAGAAATGACCCAAAATGACTTGGGGAAAAAAGTCTGGTTCCATTGACTTACATTAAAAGTAAAGTATGTTTTTTCCATCTCCTATAAAGTTACTCTTTTGGAAATACAAGGATTCTGACAACAGTGATATGATGTTCAAGAGTATGTATGAATAGTTTCATAAAATATCTAATTTACACAATGTACAACACACTGTCATCTATAAGAATAAACAGAGGTATGACAGAGTGCAGAATTCAGAATGAATGCTTCTCCTTTTTTTTGCTAAGCGATACTTAAAACTCCTCAACACAGTGAGAAGACGTTTTCTTAGCTCCAGTGTTAACTTTAGCATAAGCTCATCTGAAGAGGCAGCTTACATCACTCAGACTTTCCTTTTATAGGACATGCCATTTCAATGTAGAAAAACTATGTAAAAAGCAAATTCTCCATTTTTTAAATTCATTTTAATACAGTGTTGGAAACCAAATAAGCAAGGGATGCTAAACTAAAGGTACCAAACATGTCTTGGCTGATTGATTACACTACTGTAAGAGGAAAGCATGTGTACATTTTATTTTTAAGTAAACTAAGTTCAAGTCAACAAGAAATGGAAATCATAGTGCATTTTTTGCATAGTATTGCATTTCTGAGTGGTATCAGTGAGGGTCTCAGTGAAAGGTGGGGGTGGTGGAAAGAGAGGTGAAACATGATACAATTGGTGAATATTAAATTTCCCCACCTGCTGGTGCATGGTGATGTAATCAAAACTCAGAAGAGGTTTAGAGGTGGTCACATTTTGGTGGAATATTACAGAAAAAAAACATGAATTTTGTCTTTTAATTGATATGCTATGATGAATTGTCAATTTTGATTTCAGTTTGACTCATAGACTTGCATATAGTAGAATATAGTTATTTGTTTTGTTCATTTGCAAAAAAAGCTAAATGAAAACTTACATGAACCATGCCTAAATGGTTATAACTGCATATCGTTCTGTGAATGGTCTGTTTGACCCTGGATCATGTCATGAAGTCCCCAGTATTTGCGTTCTCTATAATGTTTTGTGTTGCTTTAGTCAGGAGCATTTAACAGTGTCTTACTGAAATTCTCCTAACAACATCTCTGGGTTTATTGCACCGTGCTGTAAATGTTCTGGATGGTACACTAACGTGGGGGTGGGTGGGGTGGGAATAGGGCTGTGCCAGTTGTGGGCCCCACTTACGCCACCACTCTGAGTATTTTTAATTTGTTTGACAGACACTTCTGGAGGCATCCCATGCTTCTACAGCGTCAGCACACCACAGGGTCTGTGTCTATAAATAAGGCCCTGCTGGATGCCCCTCCAAACCCCAACCCACCCCCACAGCACTTGCTCGTATACGCACCTTTTTACCCTCTAAGCAACAGCTGTCAAAAATAAACACTCAGCCTGCATCCTTTAATTGCCCTGCAATTATTTTCCACCGGTGAGATGAAGAGGTGCATATTTTGTGATTGTATCTGACTCCTATCTGCTTTGTGTATTTAGAGAGAAAGAGGTAATGTGTTTTTTTAAACTTTTATACATGTATAAATTCTCACAGAACGTGCTGTGAAGTGGACCAGGATCAACAGTAACCCCCTGCTGTTTCAAATACACATAACAGCATGAAGTTTTCATTTTGTTCTGGAACATGATGTCAATCATCATTCACCCTGATCTCCTCAGAGTGCAGACTAACCAAGGAGGAGTGCGACTGTGTTTCTCTCTTTCTCTCTCTTTTCTCTCTCTTGCTCAAGCACGGATTAGATTACACACACACACACACACACACACACACACACATCTACACATGTATATACACATGTATACATACATACATATATCTATCTATCTATATATATGTATATATATGTATATATATATATATAGATAGATAGATAGATAGATAGATATGTTTGTGCATTAGCAAGAGTGTCTTAACAAATGTGTTCAAATGATCAAATTATGCAAGAAAGTGAAAAATTATTGTGTGTGTGTGTGTGTCATTTCTGACATGCAAAAAACCTCATGACTTTTTTCACCTCTCTGTAATTCACCTATTACAGACAGACATGTATCTATGTAACCTAACCCTAACCTTAACCTCAGCAACCAAAAGTAATGTTTTTTTCTCTCTTCATTTTGTGCTGTATGTTAGCTCTGTTTTACTACACAATCAAGAAAAAATAAATGAAAACAAACACACACACACTCACACACACACATACTCACTCTTACTGCTGGTAGATATCTCGCCATGCCAACCCTCTTTTGTATGTTTGTCTGTCTGTGAAAAAAGGAGAGAAAAAAGAAAAAAAGAGAAAAAGTGGGAGAGAGAGACAGATAGAGAGTAAAAGAGGGAGAGAGCCATAGCAACAGAGAGAGAGAGAGAGAGAGAGAGAGAGAGAGAGAGTGAGAGTGAGTGAGTGAGTGAGTGAGTTCTGGGCATAACTCCACTGGGCAGTCATCCACGCTATGGCCCGGCTATGGGCAATTTGTAGTGATCAGACAGAAAGTGATGTCATTGTCTTACGCAGATTATTGCTTGGCACACTGTGAGGCTGGAGTTCATATTTTATGCTGATCAGAAACCAGCGTGTGCTCCAGCGCTGCGCAGTAACAGGAAAATCCTTAGAGTTGCAGTGTGTGGAGAAGTGAGGGCTCGCAGCTGTCTGGGTGGGAGCTGGCAAAAGGCACTTTAGACTATATTGGTTATAGCAGATGTGTATGTTGCTTCCTGTTCAGACGCTGTGATGTGGCACTTGGCCAGTGATATGCTAATAATAGGCAACAAATGAAATGTAAAATAAAAAAAGCTGCTTATATCTTACAGCTTCAGACTTAGCTAGAGCTTCCAGGAAAAACGCTTAATAGGGTCTTAATAGGTCTATCTTACCACCCAGCTGCCGTAATTCTGGCAATAGAAACCTGTAACACGGGTTGCTTCAAAAAAATCCATCTGAATGGATGTTTTATGAACTACAGAAAATGGGTCTCAAATTGACCCCTGATTCCAAAGAATAAAAATGAGTCACCTGATGAAGTCATAACAGGCGCTAGACTTTTAGATTAGCTCTTTTGAACCTGTTACATGTAAACAAACTACTGGCTCAGTTTTTACAGGGTAGCAATAGGCTAACTGCTAACAATTTGAAACACAAGCAGCGTGACATTTACTGCTTGAGTGACACCCTATAAAATATACTATTTGTCTCTAATATTGAGCCCTGAAGAGTAAATAAAATGCTTAAACATTTATACTGGATCACAGCATTCTGCATCTGCACCCACTCTATGGTTATAAGTCTACTTCACAGTGTGTTGTTTGCATCTTTTGGTTTCTGCAACTGAAACTACACCCTGGCCAATAAGTTTAGAACAATATTACACATGATTTTATATTCGTCTATCACTCAACTTTGGATTTACCTAATAAGAACAATTACAGAGAGACCATGAGTGCTTCTTGTTCATGCCTCAGGATTCCTCTGACACAGCTCACTCAGTCCTGAGACTCATACTGTGTGTGTTTACAGTCACCAAACTCATACCTTAACCCCTTAAAATCCCAGCCTTATTAAATATTATGCCTTATTATTCAGTAACTACAGGGACTCCAATGCATAATAATGAACCTTTGGGCCTGCCGGTGGGCGTTGGCTATTGAAGGGTATAAGGACTTACCCCCATCAGTTACGTTGCAGAAGACAGTAAAGTTTAGAGCAATATTATAGTAGTATTGTATAGTATTATATTAATAGTAATAGCAATATATAACAGCATTCAACTCCAACCCTGGAGGCCAGGCGTCCAGCACAGTTTGGTAAGTGCTTTCTGTAAAAATACCTATAAAAACCTGTCAATTAAAACATGTGTTAATTCAGGTGTGTCTAAGCAAGGACATGCCAAAACTCTGCTCCAGAAGTTGAAGACCCCAGGCCTAGAGAATCACTCAAACCCTAGGCAAAACTTCAGGGTTAGGGTCAGCTAGCTCTGAGGCATATATCGACTACCTATAGTACAATCATTTATGATCTTATGAATTAGGCTTATGTCACCACACCGTAAGTGGCCTAAGTTTGCCAATATAAGATTTATTAAATTTTTGTTTAATTTTTTTGCAGACTGCAAGACTGGAGCGGAACATATAGGGGCGGGGGCACTCTGGTGGGTGACCAATCAGAACAGAGTAGGGCAGAAGTTGAATAGAGATGTACAGTATGAGAAAAATAATGCGTTTTTGGACCATTTAAAAAGAGCGTAATAGGTTTAAGTGCATGTAAACACGCTCATCAAGTACACAACCAGCGCCTGGTTTGAGACGTGTCTGAGAAGTTTACGTCGAGCTAACGTAATGCTATTGAAATTTGAACTTGCCTACACAACGGCTGATACAGTATGTAGTGCAGTGTGTCTCTAACGAGCGAAGCCATGAAGTGTAAAATAACGTCCACCGGCTATGCTGCCCGGTTCACACTCTACTATTAATACGAGCCTCATCCCGGCCTGGACGCCTGCCAGCGGCGAGTTTACTGCGCATGCGCGACCACGATCGCTGGTCGACAGGAGTTTTAATGATGAAGCAGACGGCGGAGCGCGCGAGCGCACGAGCTAACTTTGAGGGACTTTAATCATAGGATAGAGCGACATAAACAGCAAAAAAAAAAAAACAAACACGCAGGTTAGCAGGAGCTGCGAGCGCGGGGTCAAAGAGTTTCGTGGTCTTTTTTGTGTGCGCGCGCCAAAGGAGAAGGAGGAAGAGGAGGAGAGGAAGGTTGGAGCGATCCGGTCACCGTAAGTGCCCCGCGCCGCGCGCGCTGTCGTCCACGGGAGCTCGCGCACACGCTCTCTCTCTCTCTCTCTCTTTCTCTCTCTCTCACCTTCTCTCTCTCTCTCTCACCCTCTCTCTCTGTCTTGTGAGCTTCTGACAGCAAGTCACTCCTCGAGCGTCGTGCTCGTTTTCTCGCTCCAGCACGTGAACCGAGTGTTTTTAGTGTGTTTGGATGAGGCCCCGCAGACGGCGCGCGGATCTCTGAGCTCACACCGACCCCGCAGAGTAAGTGGAGCTGGACACACAGTTTACACACAGCTACGCGTGACTGTTTCTTTCTAATCCGTGATGTTTTAAGGTTTAGACTGTGTTTGTGATCAGGTGTAATCCATATAAACCAGATAGGGTTGTTTGATTCTCAGTGTGAAAGTATGGCATGTTGCACATTGACAAAATAGGAGATACTGCAAAAGTCTGTGTTCGTTGGAGTTATATTATATATACATATATAATAACTTGACAAATAACATTTTTAAGAAGTAATATTTAGTATGAAATAGAATAAAAAATGGCTTTTTAGTGCTCCGTATGACTGTATGACTTAAACACCGTGCCCCATATGAGCTGAATCTACTCTCTCAGTAACTGGATAATAGTGTTTAAACACATTGTATATGAGAGGAAGCTCAAAAACACCAACAACAGCTTGAAACTATCACCGTCTGCAGTCTTGACTGGCAAATAAGATAATCAGAAATATCAGATTTAGTATGGTCTATCCAGGTATTGTGTGTTGTAGTGGACACTCTTGTTTATTCCAGTTTGAGATGCTGCTTAATAGCATATTCTGTCTAAATGAGTTCAAAAATTGTGTAAACAGGCTGTAAATGTGTAAATAGGCACAGAGTATGATCTAAATAGACAAAAGTAATTTCAGTGAATTAAGTTGAACTAAAGAATGGTCATGTCTTTGTCATTTACGCACAGCTGATTCAGGTGCTCCAGTGTTCAATATTCAAAACAATATACAGGAACATACCGGCTTGGGGAAGCTAAAAAAGTTAGCTTCTGCCTCCATCAGCCAGGCAGATTAAAAGCAAGAATCTGTAGGCTTGTTTCAAGTGTCACTTGGTCACGTTTTGCCTTCTTCAACAATTGACTCTTTATGCAGGTGTTTAACAGTTAGCCCTCTGTGGACCAGATAAGCCTATACAGCACCAAAAGAAAAGAGATGTCGTTCATTATGGACAGATTTAGCTTTATGCTCTGTGTAATCGAGCTGCATTTCAGTCTGTCGTAACTTTTTATTTGGTTCGCCCCCTTGCAGATGTTTTGTAGGTGCTCACCTTGCCTTTAGCTCACATCTATTAAATTCACCTTACATTCTCCTCACCCTGAATCTAACACTCGCTCTAACCTTAACCTAAACCTCAACCCAAAACCCAGTCCTGACCTTATGTTCAGTACTAAACCTAAACTTGGTGCTAATCCTAACACTAAGCTCAACACTAGGGATGCACGGTGATGTTGGAGCTATATCAGCTTCAGATGTGAAGATTTGAACTGTATTTCTGATGTTTGATGTTTTATTTTTTGTACTCCGGTAGAGCAGAAGGTTTAAGTGACACTGGGCTGCTGTTATTTTACTCCATTTGTAATCTTGTACACTAAAAGAAATGGTGCTTTGAATTGACACGTTTAAAATGTGTTTGAATAAATTGTATTACATGAACACAATTGCCAAAACAGGTAAACTTAAAGAAAGCAATTGTTGCAGGTGTTTATGTAACATATTTGCTTTATGTGTGGCCACTTGGCACAATAAAATCTTAAAACCATTGTTTTTCAGTGTAGAAATAAATGTAATGTTTTTCTGTAATCATGATGCAGGTGGATCCTGATTTCTGCATATGTTTATGTATCAGTATTTGTACATGTTTATGTTTTGGTATTGGCAAATATGTACATGAAAAAATACATGATAGTGGCATTGGCCTTGAATCCCCATATCAGTGCACTGTTATCTACCTATGTAGATAATCTATAGGGGGCTATCCAAATACAGTGAGAACCAATCTGCTTCCCCTAAATATCTCTTAGACGCTTTATTCTACTTTTATTCAGTTTTTAAGTGCAGTTTCTCTAAATTCAGTTCAGTTCAATTCAGTTTAGTTCAATTCAGTTCAGTTTAATTCAATTTAATTCAGTTCAATTCAGTTCAGTTCAATTCATATGACACTGATACTTTATTCTACTTTTATTCAGTTTATAAGAGCAGTTTCTCTAAATTTAGTTCAGTTCAATTCAATTCAGTTCAGTTCAGTCCAATCCAATTCAGTTCAGTTCAGTTCAGTCCAATCCAATTCAGTTCAGTTCAGTTCAGTTCAGTTCGGTTCAGTTCGATCCAATCCAATTCTACATTATCTATGTAGATAATCTATAGGGGGCTATCCAAATACAGTGAGACCCAATCTGCTTCCCCTAAATGTCTCTTAGACACTTTATTCTACTTTTATTCAGTTTATAAGAGTAGTTTCTCTAAATTTAGTTCAGTTCAGTTAAATTCAATTCAGTTCAGTTCAGTCCAATCCAATTCAGTTCAGTTCAGTTCGGTTCAGTTCAGTTCAGTTCAGTTCAATCCAATCCAATCCAATCCAATCCAATCCAATCCAATCCAATTCAGTTCAGTTCAGCACAGTTCAGTTCAATCCAATTCAGTACAATTCAGTTCAGTTCAGTTCAATCCAATTCAGGTCAGTTCAGTTCAGTTCAAGATGGTTTTATTTGCATGACTCTATTGAGTACAGTGTTGCCAAAGCATGGCAACCGTTTATAGCTGAAAATGTTCTGTAGAGGTCATAGCAGTTTGTATTCCTACTATTATTGTAATAATAGGCCATAGAAATTCAACAATTTATCAATTAAGTCATATAAATAATCGTGATTAATAATTGTGATGTGTCTTTTTTGTTACTATTTTTGTAAACTATTGAAGTGGCTAAACTGGCTTTGAAAACAATTGCTTCCCAACTGTGATACTTACAAGCGCTCAAATGACGATAGACACAGCTCTAGCTCAGATAAACGAACATTACTCACCACTGCCCCCTTGAGGTGTCGCAGCACCAGTCAGATATTAAACTTTCTGTAAGACCCATGAAATGTCACAGTAAATGAGATACTTTCTGCGTTCTTGTATTCATATGCATGTGCCTTAACTCAACGGAAAAATAAATCATATTCTGTTTTGAAGTAAATATGTGACTGTGAATAGTAACAACTGCAAAATAATTGTGATCAGCTTAAATAATTGTGATAAATATGTAAGTACTATGACAAGCCTATGTAATAACAGTAATAATAGTGGTAATAACAGTTATAACAATTAAAAATAAGCATACAAACAACATATATGTAACAGCTTTTTTTGGGGAGGGGACTGGTTAGGTCTCTCTATCTCGTTGTCTCTGCTCTCTCTCTCGTCCCCCTTCCCCGGGTGAACATGGACTTCACTTGCTCCACGTGCAGTGAGTGTATGTGTGCGTGTAGGGAAACAGTAATATGGTGTGCGGTGCTGCGAGTTGTCCGTTGGCCACTGGCCGCTGTCTCGCGACTCCGTCCGGAGCTCAAGCGCGGATTAGATTACACACACACACACATGCACTCATAGAATGAGTTGGGGTCCTTGCTCAAGCCCAAAGCGCTGAAAATGTCATGCATCAGCAATTAATGCACCATGTTAATCACAACCAAATGCATTATGGACCTGCATATTTGTAGTGCAGTGGGAGGAGATAGTGGGTTTGCCTAGATTCATATGCAAAGTTTAAAGACTCCTGGTTAAATTGGATTATGTTGTGCGGATTTTCTCAGTGAAAATAATCAGATTTTGCTCCTTCAGTGCACATGCAATATCACGTTAGCTTTCACTAACAAAAGTAATGCACTGAACTTACTTCAAACGTGCATCATTTCCATATGAATAAAACATATGGCAATAACACTATTGTATTGTGTTTCATTTAACTCATGTGCAAATGATGTACTCTCACTTACCATAAATTCTCTCTGTTTATTTATCTCAGTACGTCATACAGGCATTTTTAAATGTATTATTACTCAACTGAAACAAAACATATAAATCTTACAAGAGCTAAAATAGAAATGTACATAAAATACAAGATTACTAATTACAGTCTATGCTCTTAGGCTCATGCCTAAACCTTAATTACAGACAGCTGAAATAATAACACAGTTATGAAATGTACGTTTTGCGTTTAGTCTTCAAATAAATATCATCTTTTTTTCCTCAAACAAACTGTAATATGTGTTTATGTACTGGGATGTAGTGACGTGTAGGGCCATGTGAGTTTCATTACAGTGGAAAAATTTGGTAGTATTATGTGTTTAAAATGCTGATAAATGAAAGGAAGTGGCTGAAATGAAGCATTCATTACTTTTACTTTTCTTATTTCTATAAAAGGACACTTGAATTAAACAGTATGTTATAAATATAAGTAGAAATATGCAGAGCAGTCCAGAGCCATAAGTGTTCTTATTGGAATTAAATAAAGAAAAAAATATTGGGTCCAAAACTTCTGAGTGCTGAGTAGAACTGCACCGGAGCTCCTTAGGACATCCAGCTTCTATCAACATACATTGAAAAAGGAGATTGAATTTGCTTGGCCATCAAGGTACAAACGATGTAAATGTTCCATCAAAGTTACAACAGTGGCTTCAAGTTTTTCCAGGTGAAAAGTACATATTTGTACCTTTTCATAACCTAATGTTTTAAAACAGGACAATATAATAAAAAGCCTGGAGACGAGACGAAAATATAATAATAATAATAATAAATTAAAAATAAATTTAAAAATAAATTATGATACAATAGTGTTCCCTGACTAAAGGTACTGAGTCAGTGACAAGAGGGGTACTGCCCCAGTGACAGTTTCATACCTTTATTTCTGAGAGTGTACATAATTTCCATCATTTTCAATAAAAATATAACAGCTTATGTTATCTTTCAGTTCACTTTTGTCAATAATTGTGAGGATGTGATATAATTTATTAATGTAAAAATTATACACATTTTTTAATCAGCTCAAATCTGCTAAAGATCAGAAATGGGAGCGGTAAAGCAATCCAGGAGCCGAGCCAAGAGAACAGAGAGATATTAAAGAGAAAAAGGGAATTGCACGCTAGGGATGCACAATGATATTGAAATCATACAGTTTTATGTAAAATCCCATTTTTCTGCAAATTTAAACGCACAATTTGTATTT